ACCCCAGATCTCCTGGGTCTCGCTACCCTTCCAGATCTCACGTGACGCAGGCCCTTGGATCTCCTGACTTTTCCGGGAATGTTTTTTACTCACGCCAGTCATTTGTTTGATGGCCCCTGGGGCTCAGAACGGGCTTCCAAGTGCCAACATCAGAACAGGTTGCCGTTGTATTTGTTCCATGACGCTGGAAAGGGCCAGATCTTCGTTTTCCAGCCGTTGGTTTTCCAGTTGTTTACTAAATATACCTTCCCCCCCCGAGGAGGGTTGTAAGGTTTGGCAGGGTTCAGGGAGGTCGGCGCCCAGAAGTTGTTGTGCGGGCTGGCAAGCGTGGCCGAGGGTGGGGGGGGAGGAGAGGGGAGCGGGGAGGGGGATGGAGAAAATGAACGGAGAGTGGAAGGGGAGGGGTAGGGGCGACGACGACGACGACGAGGACGACGACGACGACGACGACGACGACGAGGACGACGACGACGACGACGACGACGACGAGGAGGAGGACGACGACGACGACGACGAAGAGGAGGAGGAGGAGGAGGAGGAGGAGGAGGACGACGACGACGACGACGACGCCGACGACGGCGCGGGGAAGCCCCACCCTTCGGCCCCAGGGCGTGGGGGCCGCGGTGGAGCAGCAGGGCCGCCAGGTGGCCGAGCAGGACCGCCGTATCGAGGGCCTGCGGCGCTACTGCGAGGCGCCCTCGGCGAGACCCGCGGGGCGGGCAGGCCCTGGGCGCTGCCGGCGGGCCAGCGAATGCCGTATCTTCTCGCGCAGAGCGCGCTCCAGGAGGAGGAGGAGGAGGAGGAGGAGGAGGAGGAGGAGGAGGGACTCGCCGTAAGCGTACTTTCACGCGCCGCCCGCTTCCTCCCAAGATCAGGATGGCAAGGCTTCCACGATCTTCGGCCTCCCTTGGGGGAACAAACACTGACATGAACACAAAAACTCGGAGATCCGCGCGGATTTCTCGGATCGACGCTGCGGCCCCCTGGCGGCGCTTCCGGCGCCGCCTTTGGCGCGCTCCGCATGCCAAGGAGGGGGGTCCAACGCCGAACCGAGAAATCCGCACGGACCTCCGAGTTTGTATGGTTCTGTCATTGTGTGTTTCCTTATCCCTGCTCCTCCCCAGACCCCCTCGGGTCATGAGAAAATCATGATGGCACGTTTTTCACGAGTTTCAGCCTCTGGGGTCTCTTGCCGAGCCTTGGGACCGTCCAAAAACGACACAGGATGAGAAAGTGGTCACAGGTTCGAGGTTCGAGGTTTTTCTGCCGTTTTCTCAGTTCTCGGCGGCTTTCTAGCTTCGGAATGCGTTCCAGCGGCTGCGACTGGCCGAGAGCGTTCTGGGAGTGCCTGGATCGTCACGAACGGCCGCTGGAGAGCCGAGTCATGACCCGATAAACCGATTGCCAAGGCTGATCCTCTCACTCCTCCTCCTCCTCCTCCTCCTCCTCCTAATCCTCCTCCTCCTCCTCCTCCTTATCCTCGTCCTAATCCTCCTCCTCCTCCTCCTCCTCCTCCTTATCCGCCTCCCCCTCCTCCGCCTCATCCTCCTCCGCCTCCTCCTCCTCCGCCACCTCCTCCGCCTCCCCCTCCTCCTCCTCCTCCAGCCCCTCCTTTTTCTCACTCCTCCCCTCCTCCGTGCCTGTCTTGACTGCGTCCTCCCCTCGTTCCCCCGGTTTCACACGCCCCCCGCCTCGCTCCCCCTGCTCTGGAATCCTGGGCCCGTTGCGCGTGTCATGCTCCTAAATTGCACGACAGGTGCCGCTCTCAGGCTTCGTTGGTTGCGAGACGGGCGACACCCTAGGGAAAGCACTCCCACAGGCGATGTCGTACCCGTGGATCGGGCATATGATGTTTACGTTTTCCCCGATGTGCACGATATCATGTTCGCGGACCCCTCTCGCCAGCCTCTGTTGCGAGGCATGTGATGTAGTGGGTTGTGTGGATGAGCAGGTGGAGGGAGGGCGGTGAATATGATCGCAGTATTGGTCCTGATCGTGCGCAGGCACACATGTTGTCCAGCTGTACCCCGTCCGTGTCGCCCGTTATGTTTCTCTCATCTTAGCGTCCCAGGGCGTCCTCGGATGATCCTCGTCCAAAAATACGCGTGCTCTTCTTTCCGCCCTCCCGCCCAATACAACTTGTTACCTTCCTCCACCCAGTTTCTCCTGGATCCTCCGCTCGCCCCTTGCCCTTCCATCCCCCCGACATAGTCCTCGTTTTCCTCCGCCTCTCCCCTCGTTCTGGAGCATGTTCGGCGCCTTTTTCCTGTTCCTGAGCCTGCCCTTCACGTACTTTGCGCCTTGTAGTGGGCTCTCTGATCGCGGATGTCAAACAAATCTCCCCTCCTCGTTCCTCCCCCTTCCCCGCCCTTCCTCCAGCCGCCACTCCTGCTCACCAACCTAGCTTTCTGTCTTTCGGTCGCCCTCCCCGCCAGCAGCCGCCCCCCCCTGCTGCACACGCCCCCCCCCCGCTCGGCCGCAGGGCCTCGGCGCCACGGTGGACCAGCAGAGCCGCCGGATCGAGGAGCAGAGGCGCTCCTGCGAGGAGGCTCCCGGCGAGCCCGCGGCGCGGCCCTCCTCGTCTCCCCCCTCCTCCTCCTCCGCCTCCTCCTCCTCCGCCGCCTCCTCCTCCTCAGACTTCCCGCCAAATATTGTATCCGAGATGTTCCTTCAGATATCCCCCAGATCTTCCGCCAAAGATTCCTGCAGATTTATCGCTTTGCAGCCGCGCCAAATCTTCCATTGGACACTCCTCAGATCTCCCGACAGATCTTCCCCCAGATCTCGCCCCTGCTGTTCCAGGGCGTCCCTTGTTTTGTGTCATGCCGCGTCGCGGGTCCGGTTCTTGTTTTTAAATTCCTAGTGTTGTTCTCTGCCTCGTTTCGGGGCTGCGATCTCTACGCGACAACCTAGAAGTTGTAATTTCTTCCCGGAAAGGGCATAGGCCCAGGGTTCTCTTTTAGTTGGTTTACCCCCGGTTTTGACGGCTGTAGGGCCGGCGAATTTCTTTTGCGATAAATAACGAGGTCGCGTAGGGCCGGCGAATTAAAATTTGAGGATGTCTCGAGCGAAACGCTTGTTTTTCAGAATTTGTTGAGTATGTCTCTAGCGAAACGTTTGTTTTGTGTTATAGATTGTCCTCTCCTGGGGACCTGAATTCTGAGGATCTCTCAAGTGGATTGCTTGTTTTCACGTGCCCAGGTCTTGAGGATATCTCTAGCGAGACGCTTGGTTTCACGCCTCCAGGTGGCCCAGACAGATGTCTCGCATGAGGAATTGTTGAGGATGTCTCGAACCAGAGGCTTGTTTTCACGTGTCCAGGTCGCCTAGGCGGATGTCTAGCATGAGCATGTGTTGAGGATGTCTCGAACGAGACGCTTGTTTGCACGTGTCCAGGTCGCCCAGGCGGATGTCTAGCATGAGCATGTGCTGACAACGTCTTGAGCGAAACGCGTGTTTTCACGTGTCCAGGTCGCCCAGGCACAGCACAGCCCTCGGCACGGTACATCAATATCGATACTCTTAGCATTGCAGCCTGGCATGTTGCCTGGCACGTTCCGCGGAGCGTCCCGTGGCGAGTCCCCCATTGCACGTCGCGCGGTGCACGTCAATTGGCACGTTCCGTAGCGCGTCCCCTTGGCACGTCCCGCGGTGCGTGCCCATGGCACGTCCCCTGGCACGTCGCCTGGCGCGTCCCTTGGGACGTTCCGCGGCGCGTCCTCTTGGCATGTTCCCTCTGTCGATTAGTTCTGGGGCAGCTACCATCTGCTCAGGCAGCTCGAGCTTACGATCCAGATCAGTTCGGTGAGGACTCGGATGCCAGGGAGGACTCGATCCACAACGCTACATAGAGCACAATCGCGGCATGGCACATCGCAGTTCAGCACGGCCCAGCACAGCACAGCCGTCGGCACGGTACATCAAGATCGATACACTCAATTATGCACCTGGGCACGTTCCTTGGCGCGTTCCGTGGCGAGTCCACCTGGCACGTCGCGCGGCGCGTCCCCTGTCACGTCCCTCGGCACGTCCATTGGCACGTTCCGTAGCGCGTCCCCTTGGCACGTCCCGCGGTGCGTGCCCATGGCACGTCCCCTGGCACGTCGCCTGGCGCGTCCCTTGGGACGTTCCGCGGCGCGTCCTCCTGGCATGTTCCCTCTGTCGATTAGTTCTGGGGCAGCTACCATCTGCTCAGGCAGCTCGAGCTTACGCTCCAGATCAGTTCGGTGAGGACTCGGATGCCAGGGAGGACTCGATCCACAACGCTATATAGAGCACAATCGCGGCATGGCACATCGCAGTTCAGCACGGCGTAGCACAGCACAGCCCTCGGCACAGTACATCATCATCGATACATTCAGCATTGCATGTGCCCGTCGCCCAATCAGGTGTCTTTGAAATGTGGCAATGCCTTACATTTCTATATTCCTTTCCGGGTTCGTGGGTCGATCATGTTGTTTTTATAATTCCTTGTTTGTTTCAACCTCCCTTTATACCGATGGTCCTTTCGATTGGCACGATGTGCATGAATAATTACAATTGGGTATGCGTTTCGATACGCATTCCAAACACATTGTCGATGTGCATTGCGACCTTCATATCGCTTGCAATGGACTTGCGTTTCGATGTGGCTTTCCCCCGGGACAAGCACAGGACAACTCACTGGGCAACCATGGGACAATCCACGGGAAAACCACAGGACAACCACCCAGCAGCCACTGGACAACCACGCGACAACTACGGGACAGTCACCTAGACAACCACAGGACCATCCACGCGACAACCACGGGATAACCCACGGGACAGCTTCTCCTCCGCCTCCTCCTCTTCCTCCTCTTCCTCCTCCTCCTCCTCCCCCTCCTCCTCCTCCTCTGGCCACTCCTGCTCTGCCTCCCTGCCTCCTTGCCCTCCGCCCTCCTCCCCCGCGGCTGCCATCCCCCCCTCGGTTGCACACGCCCCCTCCTCCGCCCTCGGCCGCAGGGCCTCGGCGCCACGGTGGAGCAGCAGGGCCGCCGGATCGAGGAGTTGAGACGCTCCTGCGAGGCCGCGGCGCAGGCGGGCCCGCCCCCCCCCGCCCCTCCCCTCCCTGCCTCCCTTCCTCCTGCTTGCCGCGCTCCGGACAGGGCAAAGACAAAGGCAGTTCTGGGTCGGTCGCGGCGCGCCGCGCGCGCCGTGTAGCCCATTTCGCAAACCATGCCCTTTCTGATTTGTTGGTGTCTCACCGTCGTCTTTTCTGGACCTGAGTCTTAGGACCCAGGCCAAGCAATGTTCCATGTTCCCCATTCCGTCCCTCCCTTGTTCGTTTTCGCGTCGTGCCGCGGCCGAAGTCAGGATCCTGGCGGCCGCGTGCCCTGCGAAGCACAATGCGCCAGCGTTCGGACGCCTTCGTACATGGCGATTGTTTCAGTTTCGATTGGCGGAAACGGCTCCTGCAGTAGCGTCTTGGGCGTAGCGATTTGGGAGCACACATCGCGTGACCGGCACCCACAGCAAACCCTTATAGATACCAGGCGGGCGTCCCGCCGCCCACGAGTAACAACATGCTCGTTCAACGCGAGGCCAGCAGTTCATATTTGTGCAAGACAGTTTCTCATCCCCGATGCGGTTCACTAGGCTGTCATGCTTTATAGACCATGACTCTGGTAATAAGGACGATGCGGGTGGGGAATTTGCTTGCCGAATTGTAACTATGGCAAGTGGGTGTGCATACCGATTGCCATATCGACTTGCACTTCGATCTGCGTTCCAAGATGCATGCCGATCGCATTTGAATGTTGATTTCGTTGTGAAGTACGATGTGCATTTCAAGTTGTGTTCCAGTATACGTGTTGATGTGCATGTCGATGGACGGCATGCCCAGGCTCAGTCTCGCGGGCCTACTCTAAAATCATGTTTTAAAAATTCCTTGTGTTGTTTCATGCCCTGCCGTCCCCGCGCGAGTGATACTCGAAAACCTGGTTTAATGATCACGGTTATCATCTCCCAGATGTTCCTCCGGATTGTCTTCCAGATCTTCATCCAGATGTTCCCCTAGATGTTTCTTTTGATCTCCCCGCAGATCTTCACCCAGATCTCCTCCCAGATCGTCACGCAGATTTTGAGGTTTTCCTCCAGATCGTTATTCCGATCTTATCCTCCTTTTCCCCCCAACACCCCCCCCCCCGAATCCCCCTCAGATCCTCTCCTAGATCTTCACCCAGATCTTCTGGCAGATCCTCGCCCAGATCTCCCCCCAGATCTCCCCCCAGATTTCCCCCCAGATCTTTCCCCAGATCTCCTCCCAGGTCTTTCTCCAGCAGATCTTTTCCCAGATCTTCCCCCAGATCTCCCCCCAGATCTTTCCCCTGATCTTTCCCCAGATCTTCCCCTAGATCTTCCCCCAGATCTTCCCCCCAAATCTGGGGGGAAGATCTTCGCCCAAATCCCAGATCCCTTCCACCCAGATTTTCGCCCAAATCCCCTCCTATATCTTCACCCAGATCTTCCCTCTGATCCTCGCCCAGATCTCCCCCCAGATCTCCCCCCAGACCTTCCTCCAGATCTCCTCCCAGATCTTTCCCCAGATCTTCCTCCAGATCACCCCCCCAGATCTTCCCCCAGATCTTTCCCCCAGATCTCCCCCCAGATCTTGCCCCAGATCTTCCTCCAGATCTTCCCCCAGATCTTCCCCCAGATATTCCCCCCAGATCTTCCCCCCAGATCGCCGTAGGTCGGCAGATCGGTGCTGGGCATCCTCGAGGAAAGCAAGGGGTAGTTCGGGCAATTTCAGGGCGTGTGGTTCCGTCAGGTCATCCCTCAGATAGTCCGCCAAATCTTTTCCACGTTTTTCCCCGGATCGTTCTTCGTTTCGTGTTCCAGATCTTCCCCGCGCGTCCTTCTCCAGATTGCCTCCGGACCTTCCCCAGATCTTCTGGCAGATCGTTGTCCAGATCTTCCCCCGGATTCTTCCCCAGCATTTTCCCCAGACCTTTCCCCAGATCTTCCTCCAGATCTTCCCCAAAATCTTTCTCCAGATCCTACCCCAGATCTTCTTCCAGATCTTCCCCCAGATCTCCCCCCTGATCTTTCCCCAGATCTTCCAGATCTTTCCCCATATCTTCCTCTAGATCTTTCCCCAGATCTTCCCCCAGATCTTCCCCCAGATCTCCCTTCAGATCTTCCTCCAGTTCTTCCCCCAGATCTTCCCACAGATCGTCCCCCAAATCTTCCTCCAGATGTTCATGCAGATGTTCGCCCAGATCTTCCACCTGATATTACCACAGATGTTCTCGTAGATATTTCCCCAAATCTCTCCCGGGATGTTTCCCAAGATCTTCCCGCCAGATCTCCCTCCAGATCTTCCTCCAAATCGTCACCCATAGTTTTCCTCTGATCTTTCCCGATGTTGTCCCGCAGAGTTGTTCCTATGTTTCCCATATAGTCACCCAGATTTTGGCCCAGATCTTCCACCAGATCTTCCTTCAGATCGTCCTCCAGATCTTCACCCAGATCTTCACCCTGATGTTTCCCCGTACCGTCTCCCTCAGATCTTTCTCCAGTTTTTCCCGAGATCTTCCCGCAAATCTTGCTGCAGATTTACGACGCACTACACCGCCAAATCTCCCTCAGCACATTCCCCAGATTTTGGCCCAGATCTTCCACCAGATCTTCCCTCAGATGTCCCTCCAGATCTTCCTCCAGACTTCCCGCCAAATATTGTATCCGAGATGTTCCTTCAGATATCCCCCAGATCTTCCGCCAAATATTCCTCCAGATTTATCGCTTTGCAGCCGCGCCAAATCTTCCATTGGACACTCCTCAGATCTCCCGACATCTTCCCCCAGATCTTCCCCCTGCTGTTCCAGGGCGTCCCTTGTTTTGTTTCATGCCGCGTCGCGGGTCCAGTTCTTGTTCTTAAATTCCTAGTTTTGTTCTTTGCCTCGTTTCGGGGCTGCGATCTCTACGCGACAACCTAGAAGTTCGAATTCCTTATTTTAGAATTCTTTGGTTTTTCCCGGAAAGGGCATAGGCCCAGAGTTCTCTTTTAGTAGGTTTACCCCCGGTTTTGACGGCTGTAGGGCCGGCGAATTTCTTTTGCGATAAATAACGAGGTCGCGAAGGGCCGGCGAATTAAGATTTGAGGATGTCTCGAGCGAAACGCTTGTTTGTTTCAGAATTTGTTGAGGATGTCTCGAGCGAAACGCTTGTTTTGTGTTATAGATTGTCCTCTCCCGGGGACCTGAATTCTGAGGATCTCTCAAGTGGATTGCTTGTTTTCACGTGCCCAGGTCTTGAGGATGTCTCGAGCGAGACGCTCGGTTTCACGCCTCCAGGTGGCCCAGACAGATGTCTAGCATGAGGATTTGTTGAGGATGTCTCGAACCAGAGGCTTGTTTTCAAGTGTCCAGGTCGCCCAGGCGGATGTCTAGCATGAGCATTTGTTGAGGATGTCTCGAGCGAGACGCTTGTTTGCACGTGTCCAGGTTGCCCGGGCGGACTTCTAGCACGAGGATGTGCTGACAACGTCTTGAGCGAAACGCGTGTTTTCACGTGTCCAGGTCGCCCAGGCACAGCACAGCCCTCGGCACGGTACATCAATATCGATACCCTTAGCATTGCAGCCTGGCATGTTGCCTGGCACGTTCCGCGGAGCGTCCCGTGGCGAGTCCCCCTGGCACGTCGCGCGGTGCACGTCCATTGGCACGTTCCGTAGCGCGTCCCCTTGGCACGTCCCGCGGTGCGTGCCCATGGCACGTCCCCTGGCACGTCGCCTGGCGCGTCCCTTGGGACGTTCCGCGGCGCGTCCTCTTGGCATGTTCCCTCTGTCGATTAGTTCTGGGGCAGCTACCATCTGCTCAGGCAGCTCGAGCTGAGATCAGTTCGGTGAGGACTCGGATGCCAGGGAGGACTCGATCCACAACGCTATATAGAGCACAATCGCGGCATGGCACATCGCAGTTCAGCACGGCACAGCACAGCACAGCCGTCGGCACAGTACATCAAGATCGATACATTCAGCATTGCATGTGCCCGTCGCCCAATCAGGTGTCTTTGAAATGTTGCAATGCCTTACATTTCTATATTCCTTTCCGGGTTCGTGGGTCGATCATGTTCAACCTCCTTGTATACCGACGGTCCTTTCGATTGGCACGATGTGCATGCCAATTACAATTGGGTATGCGTTTCGATACGCATTCCAAACATATTGTCGATTTGCATTGCGACCTTCATATCGCTTGCAATGGACTTGCGTTTCGATGTGGCTTTCCCCCGGGACAAGCACAGGACAACTCACTGGGCAACCATGGGACAATCCACGGGAAAACCACAGGACAACCACCCAGCAGCCACTGGACAACCACGCGACAACTACGGGACAATCACCTAGACAACCACGGGACCATCCACGCGACAACCACGGGATAACCCACGGGACAGCCCCGCCAGACATGGGCGTAGATGTTGAGTTGCCGAGTTGGTCTTAGTTCCGTCTGACACAATGTCACCCTCGCGCAGCTTCGCCTCTCCCGCACGCGTGACACGAATCGACACCGAAACCGATTTGCCGGTTGGGGCCACTTCGTTTTCATACTCACCCCCCTCCGTTTTGCCAGCCTGCTCCTCGTCCTCCGTTCCTTCCTTGCCCTCCTCCTGCCCGCCCTCCCCCCCAGCACTGGCCGCGCTCCTGCCCTCCGTCCTCCCGCCCTCCCCTCGGCCTCAGGGCGTCGGCGCCACGGCGGAGCGGGGAGGAGGGGGGAGGAGAGGAGAGCGGGGAGGGGGATGGGGAAGAGGGAGGGGCAGGGGGGGAGGAGTGAGGGGGAAAGGTAGGAAGGGATGGCGCGGGGGGGTGGGGGCCACCCCTCGGCCGCAGGGCGTCGGCGAAACGGTGGAGCAGCAGGGCCGCCGGATCGAGGAGCAGGGCCGCCGCATCGAGGGTCTGGAGCGCTCCTGCGAGGCCCTCGGCGAGGCCGCGGCGCAGGCGGGCCTGCCCCCCCATCAATCCTCTGCATTCCTCCCTCGTGCTTGTCGCGGTTAGGACAGGGCAAAAGCAAAAGCAGTCTTGGGGCAGAAACGGCGCACCACGCGCGCCCTCATTAGTGATCGTGTTCTTATTCACTTGTCGATCGGCGCGGGCCCTCACAATCCCCCCTCTCCCCCCCCATGGTCAGGCAGGTGGAGTCTCCCCCACAGGACGCCCTTTCGCAAACAGTCGCACCACGCAGAGGTCCGGAGCCAGACCCCCCCCCTCCCCCCCCTTCTGCCCCATGTCGAAACGCCGAATCAGAAACGCTCACTCAGCCGGCTCGTTACGCACGGCCTCGTATGAGCTGCTGGTGTCACAGCGCTTTACTCGAAGGTCTTACGGCCAGCGCCGCCGACGCTGAAGGCGGGACCTCCCCCAGGACCCCCGCAGGCGACCCGCCCCGGGACCCCCTGGGGACCCGCCGGGACCCCAGGGGGGTCAGGGGCAACGATAGGGGGGCACAGGCACAGGGGGGGATGCATCGTCCCCCAATCGCCCATGGATCGCCGATAGGATTCTGAGAGCCCCAGCCCCGCCTAGGAGGGTGCGGATTCACTATCGGGGGCCTATCGGCGATGTATCGCCGATTCCAGGTCGATGCATCCCCCCCTATGCCAGTCCCCCCCTATCCTTGCCCCCCAGGGGGGGGGCATGCTGGCCTGGGACCCCCGCCCCACCCCCCGTCAGGGAGGGCGGAAAATGGGAGGAAACCGACTTGACTACGACGTTTCTTTGCCTTGTTCCTTGGGACTGGCGACGACGACGACGACGAGGGCAAAGCCTCTCAAAGTCCTGTGTATCAGGGCCAAGGCCAAGCAGTGTTCCATGTTATCCCGTCCTCCCTCGGCCCCGTCTCCTCGCTTTCGTTCCGTGTGCCCCGGCCGACGTCAGGATCCTGGCGGCCGAGTACCCTGCGACGCACAGAGCGTCAGTCATACCTTCGACACGCTCGTCCATGGCGATGGCTTCAGTTCCGACTGGTGGAGCCTGTTTTTGCAATGAGATCTCAGACACAGCGATCGGGAAACAGATCGCGCCAGCGCCACTCACCGCAATTTCTTCTAGATACCAGGCGGCCGCCCCGCCGCTCACGAGCGACAGCAGATCTGGCTCATGCAGATCAAATTCGCCAGTTCAAGACGCTAGAAGTTCATGTGCACACAGACAATGTATCGATTACGGCGTGGTTCACTACACTGCCGTGACGAATGTTTGCGCGGCTTGGTATGATGTTGGAATACATTATCCTTCTGAAGATCCGCACGATGGGCAAATGGCTGCTGCGCTTCCGCGGAATAATCCGGGCCCTCCTTTAATGAATAACCCGCTGATCTCAAAACGGTATGTGACACTACGCCGTCAACTCCATTAAGAACATGGGGCGGGATGCATGTCCGCGCAAATAAATGTCTATTCCGCCCATACCGCCTATTCCGCCAGTCGTGAGCCATCTTGCACCCAGACCACGTAGGATGTCTGCCACGGCAATGGATATGAGCAAATGTCGTTAAGGCCAGCATTCGAGTGATAAGGAGGTTGCGGGCGAACAACGTGCATGCCTATGTTCACTTCTCTTTGCGCTTCTATAGTTACAAGGGGTATGCATCTCGACATGCATGTCGATTGCATTTCGATCTGCAATGGCTGCATTCCGATTGCATTTAGATTTTCATTCCGTTGGTCATTTTGATGTGCACGTCGGGTTGCGTTTCGGTGTACGTACCGATGTGCACTCCGATTGTTATTTTGATTGGAACTGGAGTTGCATGTCGACCTGCAGTCCACACGTAATGCAAGTTTGCGTCGGGATTTGCATATCGCGCGCAACGGAATTGCATTCCGATGTGGATTTCCCACGGGACAGCCCATTGGATAATCCATGGGACAATCTATGGGAAAACCACAGAACAACCACCTGGCAACCATGCGACAACCCGTGACAATTACAGGATAATTGCCTAGACAACCACGGGACCATCCACCGGACAGCCATGGGACAACCCACGGGACAGCCCCACGCCCCACAGCGAGACACCAGCGTAGATTTTGAGTGCCCGAGTCGGCCCTCGTTTCGTCTGACACAGTGTCACTCTCGCGCAGCTTCGCCTCACCCGCACGTGCGACACGATTGGAAACCTAAACATATTCCTTGGCTGAAGTCACTCCGTTTTCACCGCCCCCCCTTCCCGTGTTGCCAGCCTGCTCCTCGTCCTCCTCCGTTCCATCCTTGCGCTCCTGGTTTCCCTCCTCCCCTATCCTCCCCCTTCGGTCGCCTTCCTGCCCTCCTTTCCCCCCCTCCCCCCCTCCTCCCCCTCATCTGCCCGCTGCCCTCCCTGCCCGCCCCGCCCCCGCCTGCTCCGTTTCATCAAGCCCCCCCCAACAGCCGCAGGGCGTCGGCGACACGGTGGAGCAGCAAGGCCGCCGGATCGAGGAGCAGGGCCGCCGCATCGAGGGTTTGGAGCGCTCCTGCGAGGCCCTCGGCGAGCCCGCGGCGCAGGCGGGCCCGCCCCCCCGGACTTGCGGCCAGATGGGATGTCGGTGTCAACGCTAGGGGGGCGGCAGGCATAGAGGGGGGGGGGATGCATCGACCCCCAATCGCCCATTGATCGCCGGTGGGTGCCCGATTGCCCCACCCCGCCCGGGAAGGTGCTGACTCATTATCGGGGGTTTATCGCCGATCTATCGACGATGTATCGCCGATTCCAGGTCGGTGCATGCCCATCTACCCTAGCGTTGCCCCTCATGACTTCCTGGAGGTGGACCAATTGAAGGAGGTCCGCATTGGCAACTCCTGAAGGGCAGCCGGCAGCCCATGCGATCCAGCTGCGCAAGGATGAGCGTCTTTCCAAGGTCACCCTTGCATCCTTCCTTTTCGGCCCGTCCCCAGCCGCTTTCGTTGGTGGCGCCCCGCTCGCAGAGTGTCAACATGGCCTTCCGAGGCCCTTGCGTCCTGACCGTGCGTCCTCATTATACGGGTTGACTAAGGCTTCCTGCAAGTGCACCAATTTGAAAATTTGAAAGAGGTCCGCGTTGGCGGCTCCTGTAAGGCAGCCAGCAGCCCATGCGGTCCAACTGCGGGAGGTCCGCATTGGCCGCGAGGGGCGGGCTCCCGAGGCGAATGGGGCCGCCAGGGGGGGAACCTCCCGAGGTTGATGCTGACCTCCCGCACTCGGAGGCCACCAGGAGGGCCCCTCCTTCGCTAGCGCCTAACAACGAAGGCTTGTGTGGTTGCAGCCGCCCAGGGAGGGTTCCCGTGATCCTGGGTCCGACTGCGGGAGGTCCACATTGGCCGCCAGGGGGAGGTTCCTGAGGATGCTGCGGACATCCCACGATTGGACATGACGGCCCAGGAGGCTCCCCAGACAACCCAATTGTGCCCCAAGAGCTCCCCAAGAGAGGGCCCAGAGGGTGACCGCCAACCGATATTTCGAGGTCTCTGGCCCTAGAGGCCGCCTGTACGCCCCCGGAGGCCACCAAGAGGCTCCCACGAAGCCCCGTGAGGCGCCAAAAAGGCCCCCAGGAAGCCCCAAGAGACCCCCAAGGGGCTCCCAGGGAACGCCCAAGAGGCCCCCCAACACACACCCCAAGAAATCATGTCCCCAGAAAACCTTCCAGGGACATGGTTCATCATGTGCCCGAGAGTTCCCAGAGGCCCCCAAGGGGCCCCCCAGGGAACGCCCAAGAGACCACCCAACACACCCCAACAAACCATGTCCCCAGAAAGCCTTCCGGGGACATGGTTCATCATGGGCCCGCGAGTCTCCGGAGGCTTCGAAGTACCATCAACAGGAGAGTTGTCTGGGAAGTTGATTGGGAATACGACTGATCGCCTTCTCGCGGCCCTCCGCAGATCGTTTCGCACAAAGTTGCCCCAAGTGCCCTCTTGAACCGACGACGACGAAACGACGAAGACGACGAAGACGACGACGACGACGACGACGACGACGACGACGACGACGGCACGCCCCAACAGGCTCCCCAAGACGCCCGCAAACCCATGCTCCCAGAAGGCCTTCTGGGAACCCGATTCCTACGGGCGAGCCCAAATTACAGCGCCAGTGGGGTCGGCCATATGCGCACCGCCCCTCGTTTGGTCGCACCCCGCAGATACCGTGCTGTGCTGGGTGCCCGAGCTACGGCGCCAGGGCGGTCACATGCGCACCGCATTTGATGTTTCAAGACTGTTCGCGCGCCTCGTGCCCCATGGGGGTTCCCAACTGCAGTCAACACTTCGGTATAAGGTGCACTTTGGGTTCGGAAGGGGCTCGCGGCGCAAGCGGGGACAGTTGTACGCACACCCAGTCGCAAGGGGTGCGTTCTTCGCGATGCAAACGTGGATTGTACCAGGTGCGCTTGCTTCGATTTAGTCGTAATCCACGTGTGCACCCTACAAGCCAAAAAGTCCCACCGCACCCTTTCCCTTGTCAATGTGTTCAGTTCACCGCCCACTGCGTGCGCTCATTCAACCATGTCCGAGATGACTCTACAGCGCTTTTTCCCCAAACAGCTTGCTGATCGGGGTGCCGTTGTGATGAAGCTAGTTCCAGCCGAGGGAGGCCAAAGCAGAGACATCCTCGAACAAATTGTGTGGCACGTGCTGTTTCGTTTGAGACATCCTCACAACTCTCGTTCCCAAGTTGGCCCGGATTGGGCGTTTCGTCTGAGACGTCCTCGAACATCGGAGCTCCGAGATGCTGCGCGAGAGGTGGTCCGGCGCGTTTAGCTTGAGACATCCTCGCCATTCTGATCTCCGAGATGCCGCGCGCGAGGTGGTCTGGCGCGTTTCGCCTGAGACATCCTCGCAAGTCGGGGCTCCGAGCTGCCGCGCGCTGGGTGTTGCGGTGCGTTTCGCTTGAGACATTATCGCAATTCTGGGGACGCCGCGCGCGTGGCGGTACAGCGCGTTTCGCCTGAGGCATCCTCTCAACTTTGGGCTCCGAGATGCCGCGCGCGAGATGGTCTGGCCCGTTTCGATTCAGACATTCTCGCAAGTCGGAGCTCCGAGATACTGCGCGCGAGGTGGTCTGACCCGTTTCGCCTGAGACATCCTTGAAACTCTGGGATCCGGGAGGAAGGAGGGAGGAGGGAGGAGGGAGGAGGGGTCAGACACAAACGAGCCATCCCATTCTGCTTCTGTTGTCGGATTTTGCTCCGGGAGGTGTCGGGGCGCCCCTGGCCCGACGGAGGAGGTAGCTAGCGCTGACGCGCGAGCGCGATTCTTGGGTGAATTCCAAGGGTTTCTCAGGGGGGAGCCATGCTTGAGCAAATCGTCGAGATGCCTCGAGCGAGAGCGCAGCGAGCAGGGAGGAGGCAGGAGAAAGTGAGGAGGAAACTGGAATAATGCACGAGGGAGGCGGGACCAGGCCCGAACTATTTGTTTGAGGGCATCCATGGAGAGCATGCCTTCTAGAAGCGACATTGAGAGTGCGAAGGAATCCCTGGCATGGCGGAGGAAGCGGAGAAGAGGAGGGAGGAGTAGGAGGAGGAGGAGGAAAATGACGGGGAGGACGAGGAGGAGGGGGGCGAGGGGGAGGGGAATGCGAGGACGAGGAGGAGGATGAGGAGGAGCATTGCGAGGAGGATGAAGATGAGGAGGAGCAGGAACAGGAGGAGGAAGAGGAACATTGCGAAGAGGAGGAGCACGAGGAACACGAGGAAGAGCACGGCGTGCAGGTGGAGGAGGAGCAGAAGGAGGGGACAAAAAACAGTGCGATGAGGAGGTAGAGGATGATAATGAGGATGATAATGAGGAGGAACACTGTCGAGGATGAGGATGAGGAGGGTCCGTACGAGGAGGGGGCGAAGGAGGAGTGAGATGAGGAGGTATAGAAGGATGAGGAAGAAGAAGAAGACGAATCATGATATCAGTAGTAATGAAACTCAGAGTAGTCATAAGAAGCCGAACGATAAGATGAATACGAATAATACTAACAAGAATAAGACTAACAGTACGAACACGATCAGTAAGACTACTATGAACATCATATTAACACGAATAATACTAAGAGTACGTATTATATGACAACTAAGAATAATACGACCCATACTAATACCATACATATCAAGAATCCGGGTAATCATAATACGAATAGAAATAATATGTTTACGAATGAATATATTGTTTTTGAGAAAATATTACAGCTACTAGTAGTAAGAAGAACATGCGACGACTACTACAACTAGTATTATTACTACTACTACTACTACTACTATTACTACTACTACTATTACTACTACTACTACTACTACTACTACTACTACTACTACTACTACTACTGCTAACAATGATATTAATAGTTTTAAGAGGAGGAGGGGAAGGATGATGAGGAGGAGCAAGAGGAGGAGGAGCAGGGGAAGGACCAGGACAATCAGGATGAGGACGAGGAGGAGGATGAGGAGGAGGAGGAGCGGGAGGAAGCGAGGGGGGGATGATGAGGAGGAGGTGTAGTGAAAGGGGGGAGGGCGAGGGCCAGACGGAGAATGACGTGGATGCGGAGAAGGAGGAGGGAGACGACGACGACGATGACGGAAAGCTCGACGACGACGCCGAAGGCGCAGGCGGATCAGGAGCAGGAGGACGCGCGAACATTCCGAGGAGCCACCTTGGCTCAAACTATAGCCAGAGTCCAGGCTCCCCAATTAGCATCTTGTGAGCCTGGTCCTCCTTACCAAGCACCGCTGTGAGCGAATCGGAAGCATTATTCCAGGCGTTTGCGCCGTTCTCGAGCCCGCAGGCCCTGCGCCCGCGCGACTGAACTCCAGAATTTTAGATCGTGCCGAGCTGGTGCTTCTGGCTTGGAAATAATTTAACTCCGGAGTTTGGTCGCTACCAGGCTGGTCAATCCGCCAGCTTGGTGGCGATGTAGCTCGCGAGTTAAGTCTTCCGCGGGCTGGCGTTTGCCCAAGGGTCGGGGCGACTCAACTCTGAATCTAAGTCTCGAATTGCCCCCCCCCACCCCCCCCCCCGGTTTCGCAACCGAGAAAACGTCCTTCAACACCCTCAGCCCAGAGGGCTGAGGGGATCCGAAGCAGTGCGCCGTAAGCTCCCGCAGTGCCGCTCCTTCTCCCGTTCCCGCTCCTCCTGCGGACCCTCGTGGTCATCCTACCCCCCTCCTGCCCCCTCCGCTCCTTCCAACTCCTCGCGTAGGCGTGGGAGGCCTCTTGGGGCCTTCTTGGCCCGTCTTTAGGCCCTCTTGGGCCCGGAAAAGCCTAGTGGCGCGCTCGAGGTCGGCCCGGGGGGGGGGTCAAATCTCCGGTTTGGGGTCCTGGGGGCGTCGGGGATGCTAGAAGCGGACAAACGAGAAGGGTCGAAAAAGTTTCGAGTTGTGTACCGCGCCTGCGCGATTTCCGAGGAGCGCAGGGGTCGTGGGCGGAGGCTGCGTTAGAGTGGTTAAAGAAAGGCATGCCATGTGAAGAAACTAAGAGGCACGTGCAGAACTACATGGGCGCGGTGGACTTGCGACCGATCACGGAGGAAGATCTCGCGAAACACGAGGA